CTAATCAAAAGTCTCGTTCCTGATTGAAAAACTCACTAAAGTTAGATCAACTACATAAAAAGTACAAATTGACACCCCATAACTAAATTCTAAAAGTTTCATATCAAACCTTTTGTACTCGTGAGCCTGTAAAGTTTCGTTTCTTTTCCATGATTTAGGTAATTCTTACGGGATTCAAATTCAATTCGTCGTCTTTCAACGAACTGTTACAATGTCGCGTTTACGATGGTCTCCGTAACCCAATAATCATGCAGCTGTTATACCAAAGTGACCCAATTCTTAACAAACCCCATAAGATTAATACCGTGAACTACTTCTAATCGTTGCCTAAAAGCGGCGTTTACAAGAGATGAGTCACCTCAGTAATAATTAGCTTTTAGATCATTCGAGTTGAATTAAATACGACCAGGCATAAGGAAGGAGGGTAAAAACAAAATGAGCCACAAATTCTGGGAGTGAAGAAGACAGTGTAGACTGACAAATACAGATATTTTGAGTTTGTACGACCTGATAACGTCTCGATTTACCCTAAAGCTTCAATTATATCCAATTTTGACATGAATAAGCATGAATTCTGCCTTTGCGCTCACCTATGACGTTTGAATAACTGGTCAACTACATTGTCATCGGCTCATTAAAACCATAATATAGCAAACCGCAAATGAAACTCATATTTTCCATTCTATAAAAGGTCTCGAGGGTTTTATGTCCGATATTCGAAAATGACAGAGTTCGTTCAACCGCATTAGTAGTCAAACAAGTCGGGCACAATCGAATTACATCGGGATCGATTTTGTTTACAGGTCTTCATGATTTTTTCCCTCAAATCGAAATTTCAGTGATTTAATATGTAATCTGACAAAGGCATGATGTTCAAATATACCTTTTTTTAAATTGTCTGACCATATTCAATAGACAACTGTCTCTATAATCGATTGATCTATGTTAAATTACCGTTCGTTCGGTTTCACACTTCAGTAGGTTATGGAGATTTTGGCTGGGGTAGAACGAGAACTGATAACAATCATAATCCTCCAAATCGATTGTCTTATAGCGAGGACTGTATTGGGCAGACCTCATGCCAATCAGGTACCCTGCATGGAGCGGACACTAACCGAGGTACGAGCCCCCATTTTACCACGAAACAAATCTGTTTCCAATACCCTCGTATTATTCAACGGACTTTGACAGACACGAAAAATCAAACGATTTTTCAACACTAGACTGGTACCGATAAACAGCAAATGACAGTACTTTTAGACATTTACAATTTTTTTTTAATTTCCGCCGAAAGATATGCTATATACGTTATGGATTGATAATTTTTGCGGAATGCTTGCCAAGTAACTGCAAGAACTTCATCACATGAGAGGAATTTTAACTGTGGATGCTCTCAGCTATCATCCGAGGAGCCGAACAATATTCCAAGGAGCTGAACGGTTTCAAACAAGAGATTAGACTTGGATAAATGTTTAAGAGCTAATGTTAGTATGCATCAGACAAACAGCGGCAAGTCACCCAAAATTTGCTTTCACTCCTACTTTCATATTTTGTAGCCCAATATGTCCTTATAATTGTGGTGTTGTTTTTTTGTGAAAATATATTTTAGTTTTCGAGAAATGATTTTTTTCGTTCGACCGCTCAAATATGCAAATTTTCACCGTGGATATTACTCGAGTTGTGTGACCTCATTTAACGAACAAACTTGACCTCTTGTATTTCTGTCAACACAATCCTATGTTTTATCACCTAAACTTAATCCCCTGTCATTATTGAAGCTGGCAAAGATTTGAATTCCAGTTTATATGTCTTCTCCATCTTTTTATATCAGTTGCATGACATGGGTGACACATAAATTCAAGAATGAATCAACCTCCGAAATACCATGAGATGGGTTTTTTCCTCTTTCAAGAAAAAGCTTTCAGGAATTAATACATTCAGAAAACTAAAATGTCCAGATGAATCAGTGATTCCTTTGCCGGTGGCACATTGCATAGTTGTAAAAAAGACATTTCAAGTCACTTGCGGAATTGCAAGTTTTCAGATCCAGAAAATGAAATTGATCTTATTTTGTCGCGTAACGGCATCTTCGAGACGCTAAAAGATATCGATGATTTTACAATTTGCCCCACTCACAGATGTTGAGTGGAGTCATGGTTCCAATAGTAGATGTATGCGGCCATTGTAAAGGTGGGGTTAAGTGGATTCCAAAAGCCGATAGGCTACTTACCACCGTGAGCAAAATTACGCGTCCCGTCAGACTCGAGTCTCGATTGGGAACTAGCCACCAAAAATCCACACAAGGCGGAGTTTTATATACCAATAGTCGTGGTTACACTAGCCCTTTTACCCATGGGTAACTAGCGTTTGCCCTCGGGCAAGGACGTTTTTGTGTGTAACCGCTTTCCCCAGACCGAAACTGCCCTAAGGCTATTTCCATGGATACATCAAAAAGAACAAAAGAACTTCCCATGACAGTTCCTGAGCTGAAAAGTTTGGTTTATCTGCTCCCTGAGGTGGTTTGGCCAATCATAAAGTAGAATGTAGCTAATACAGGAAATCGCCTGCAGTGTTTTGAGGTGACCTCCGATGCGCTTGGCTGATTTGGCGCCTTCTTCGGTGTCTTCTCGCAAAAAACTGCTGGACTGTTATATTTATGGAGGACTGTCGTATAACAGGCAGGAGAATCACTGACGGGAGTCTTCTACTATGTAACCGCATCCCAAAGGGTAACATGAAACCTGAGCTTAACCAAACCCAAGTCATTTACCCTCCGTAAGGCCCCAAATCCAAGGTGTGTGTAACCACGGCTAATGTCTGAACACTATGTTGGCTTCCCGCCGTCTGGCGGAACACGCACTCATGCACACGGTGGTAAAGGGCCCTTCCGCACAAGGTAATAGACGCTGACAAAATGTGTCCTTGCTAAGGGCCTGTTTACATGGAGGTGGAGGACCCCAGGTAGGTGAGGTAACCCGCCTAGCCGTGGTCAAAAAATATAACGCGTTTACATGCAATCCTACAACCCCAGGGTGCTGGGGTAAGGTTTCTTGAGGTTGTTGTTGCGCTTGCAATTAAGGAGTTTGAGCAGGGCGTCCCAAGCTCACGTCCCGAAAAAGACGAAAGATTAATTCTCGGACACGTACATATTTATTCATGAAAGCGTCAGGCGTTGTGTTACGCGGTGTTTGGTTTCGCGAGGAACCGTTGACTGATTACGTTATACGGAATAGTTTGGGAAACCAAATATGGTCGATTTACAACACTAAATATTCCGAAATGTGAACATTTTACGCTCCTTGTGTGTCCGTTGGGGTTTCTGATGATTTTTGCCATGAGACGGTTAGGAAATGTATAAAGTTTTAAAACATACATGTTTCGCTTTTAAGCTTTTTGCCATGAACGCGACCCCGGCTAGGCGGGTTACCCCACCTTGACACGTTTACATGGCAAATTGTCACCCCAGCTGACAGAGTCACCCTACCTGGCAGACTGGGCAACCCGCCTAGGCGGGTCACCCACCTATCACGTAAACGTGATCAAAATAAAATAAGAAATTATAGGGACAGGCGGGTTACCCCACCTTGGCGGGTTACCTCACCTACCTGAGGTCCCCCACCTCCATGTATACAGGCCCTAAATTTCAAGTGTGCTGCACGTATCATCATCTCCCTAAATTTCAAGTGTGCTGCACGTATCATCATCTCCCAGGGACACCTTTACATAAGAGGGCGGTGGTACGCGCTGGGAATTTCGAAAATGACCCCTATAAAATTATAAAAGGTACCCGAGTCTTATCTGTGTGCAATTGATTGATGTCTACCCTTAAAAGGTACCAATTCAAAAGCAAAAAAATTGAAAAATCCCAAAACTAACAACTCCTCGATCGATGTGCTCATAGGCTCCAGTCCTAGTAATGCTCATTTCGGGTATTTTACTTAGCGAAAAACACCCTAAAAGGTACCTGCTAGGTCTCTGTAGTCCACTAAAGTTTTAGACACCGTAAAAGGTACTAGATCGCTGATTTTGACCCCTAAAAGGTACGACAAGCATCCTTACCCATTTCTGATCACCTTCTCCCCCCGGTCAGCACCTAAAAACAAAGATTTGCCCCTTAGTGAAAAAAAGAGTGATTTGTCCTAGTCGCCCCCACCTCAAAAATCTAATGATCCGTCCCTAAGGTACCTTTTACATAATTCCAAAATGAGTTTCGTTCCGGAACGAAATGAATTTCACACCGCGTTTACATGCAAAATAATATAGCCTGTAAAAACAAGTATTTATGTCATTTTCTGTCTTTTTCTATGCTTCCCTCGCTCCTAAAGAGGATTCATACAGATATAATCGTCGTACTGCGTTTACATTATACAGGTAGGAAAGGTCGTTCAGAATGAGTGTTTCGTTCTGGAATGGAATGTCTTTGTTTTGATATTACTTTTCGACATAGGAAAAGTATGTCGGACAAAAATATTTACCAAAAAATAAATATTTCTTTGCCAGCTTCAGTAATGACAGGGAATTAAGTTTAGATGATAAAACAAAGGATTGTGTTGACAGATAAACCGGAGGTCAAGTATATTCGTTATATGAGGTCACACAACTCGGGTAATATTCACGGTGAAAATTTGCATATTTTAGCGGTCGATCTCGGAAACTAAAATATATTTTCACAAAAAAACTACACCACAATTATTAGGTCATATTGGGCTACAAAATATGAAAATAGGAGTGAAATCGAGTCGTGGGCGACTCGCCAGAATATTTCAAATTTGTGCAATGGATGCTGACATCCTCTCTTAATAAAAACTTAAACAATTTCCCGGCAATTTCAAGATTTAACCTTGCTGTGCCAATTTCCAGCAAAGAAAACTTTATTACCCAACACTTTTTCCTGAGGATTCCAGTGAACTATTTGAATTCTTTTGACAACATGCACGAGTTTTAAACTGTCATTGGAGATATGTTTTAGCTGAAAGAGTATTTTCTGCCTTAGAAATTCAATGGCTTGTGCAGCACCAACAGTTTCATCCACAAAGGAGACAACGAACTATGCTCGCTTGTGTCGTCTGCTAATTGATGTTGGTACCCAAGCCCTCCGCGACACATTTGATGCCATTTATTCTCCAGCCAATCTTCACACAGTATTGGCGGCCAACAAAACCAAGTTACAGTTACTGAAAACAAAAAATATTATAAACGCAACGCAATGGAGAAAGCTCTTTCCACCTACCCCTTCTTTAGTGTCACCGGCCCATTTCGACATCACACTTTTGATGGTTCTGCTGCGAAACATATGTCGCCTACATCCTCTTGCAACAAGCTGGGATAAACCTCCTGCTGTTAAAGATGTGACTCGTGAAGCTGATATCGCTCGTGTTAAATATTATAGAAACACTGTGTACAGTCATGCTGAGTGCGCTTCAGTAGATGACACACAGTTCAAATTATACTGGGGTGACATTCGGGATACTCTAGTGAGACTCGGAGGTGCACAGTACGAAGCAGCCATTGACAATCTTGAAAGTGAGTGTATGGATCCTAAAGTTGAAGATTTCTACAAAGAGCTTCTCAGCCAGGAGAAGAAAGATGAAGATAGCGTGAAAGATAAACTGGATGAAGTTAACAAAAAGCTGGATTATTTAATGTCATCATGCTTGTCTCCAGAAAAGAAACCTGGAGTTGAAGGTTAGATAAATATCTTTTTTAGTCTTCTTTTGCTTCTTTGCCATCAAAATAACACCAAAAAAAAAAACCATCAGAAATGAGTTAGATGAAACAAGACTGGTTCGTGTATTAGAAGCATCACGCTGCAGTAACGCTGCCTTGTAACTTGTGGACAGTCCACTGTGAACGTAGAAGTATGAAAACACCCTTGTGCATTTGTGAACTAAACATACTTTCAAGTTCCCATTCTGATTTGTTTTTTCCTAAGGTGAATCCATGGAGTCGGAAGAGCTGTCAGAGAGCACTTCCATGTGTAAAGAGAGACTCCACGAGCCGCAGCTAGTCAAGAATTATTGTAAGAATTGCAAGGTATGCATTCGTGATACAAATGTGAGCAAACTCGTCACACTAATCACACCAAAGTGAGTATCGAACAGGCCGCAGAGGAAGAGAAATTGAAGTTGCAAAATGCTGTCGGTGAAGTGAAAATGCAAATTGTAGAGCTCGAGATGCAAATCCAAGAAACCACAAAACTATTTCGAATAATTAAAGAAAAAATTACTGCAACTCGTAACAATGTACGTACCACCGTTAAAGAACTGATTCGTGTTTTAAAGGAACACGAGAACTTAATGATGACTGAGTTAGATATAATTGAAAAAAGGCAAGAAAACGATCATTCAATCCAACATGAACATTTGCAAATGTCGGTAAAAGAATTGGAAAGTGCTGTGCAAAATTGTGAGATGACAATGGAAAGAAAAATTGATGTTGAAGCTTTGCAAACCCAAATGAACGAAATTGAAAAGTCGAGACGTGCTCTAAAAGCAAATCAAAATGACTTCTATAAGCCGAGTCACGTTGGGTACCTACGGGATGAGAAGTATATTCAGGATTTCTCAGGTGCAACTCCGGGTGTAATTCTTGTCAGTAAAACCGATCCCTCGAGTTCACTGGTAAGTGGTCAAAACTTAAAAATAGCTGAAGCTGGACGCATAATGGAGTTTGACATCGCGACAACTAATTCCTTTGGAAAACAGTGCTACCTGGAAATCGATGACATCAAAGTGAAAGTTTGCAGTCCGGTGAGAAAGGAAATCGACATCAAGGTTGACGATTTGCATTCAAGTGGGAAATACAGCGTCACGTTTACACCAGAATGTGATGGCGAACATAAAGTGTCATTTTTAGTTAATGATCAGCCACTTCCTTGCAGCCCGTGGAATGTAAGTGTTAGACCGCATAAATATACTTCCTCTTTCAATTTTGCGTCACTGAGGAAAGGCAGAAAGTTTAAAGAACCCTGTGCTCTCGCAATAGACAATGAGACAAAGAGAATCGCAATAGCTGATCGAAAGAAACAAAGGGTGCAACTTTTTGACTTAAATGATTCCCAGTATCTTAAAGAACTGGGTGAGAGGGGGCCAGCAGCTAGAAAACTATCAGATCCTACTTCAGTTGCATTCACCAATTCTGGTGAGGTCATCGTAATTTCTTCCGGCACTATGTGTTATTTCTCTACCGATGGTGAGTTTATTAAGTGCATAGACAATAATTTGAATCGCCTCAAAGTTCCATTCTCACTGACTATTGCGTGTGATAGCAACCTGGTGGTATGCGACGAGGAACTTCCTCTATAAAATTTTCGATACAAGTTCAGATAAATGACAATCACATACCCCTCGTGGACTTGCTATCTATAACTTTTTTTAATACAAAAATGATATGCATAGACAATAACTTTCCCCCTTTTTTTTCATTTCACACCCAGATTGGCAAGAAATCTCCGCTGCTCTACTCTGTCTGTTTAATCCTCATTTTCAATTTACCATGCAC